TTGTATCATTGGAGGAGGGTGTTTGCTATGACCAGTGCGTTCTTTTGGCAGAACTCTGTTAGCATTTGTCCTTACTCCAAGGACACATTTACCAGTTATTTCAGGTGTTTCTTGACTTCCTACTTTTGCATTCCAGTCCCCTACAATGAAAAGGATATCTTCTTGGGGTGTTAGTTTTAGAAGTCTTGTAGGTCTTCATAAAACTGTTCAACTTCAGCTTCTTCAATGTTACTGGTCGGGACACAGACTTGGATTACCGTGATATTGAATGATTTGCCTTGGATGCGAACAGAGTTTATTCTGTCGTTTTGCGGATTGCATCCAAGTACTGCATTTCGGACTCTTTTGTTGAATATGATGGCTACTCCATTTCTTCTAAGGGATTCTTGCCCACAGTAGTAGGTATAACAGTCATCTGAGTTAAATTCACCCATTTCAGTCCATCTTAGTTTGCTGATTCCTAGAATGTCGGTGCTCACTCTTATAATCTCCTGTTTGACCACTTTCAATTTGCCTTGATTCATGGACCTAACATTCCAAGTTCCTATGCAATATTGATCTTTACAACATCGAACCTTGCTTCTATCACCAGTCACATCCACAACTGTGTGTTGTTTTGCTTTGTCTCTATCCCTTCAATCTTTCTGGAGTTATTTCTCCATTGATCTCCAGTAGCATATTGGGCACCTACTGACCTGGGGAGTTCATCTTTCAGTTTCCTTTGATACTGTTCATGGGGTTCTCAAGGCAAGAATACTGAAGTGGTTTGCCATTCCCTTCTCCAGGGCACCACATTCTGTCAGACTTCTCCACCATGACCCATCCGTCTTGGTTGGCCCCATACGGCATGGCTTAGTTTCACTGAATTATTAGACAAGGCTGTGGTCCATGTGATCAGACTGGCTAGTTGTCTGTGACTGTGGTTTCAGTCTGTCTGCCCTCTGATGCCAATATGCCAGCAAATTTGGAGAACTCAGCAGTTGCCACAGGACTGGAAAAGGTCAGTTTTCATTCCAATCCCAAAGAAAGTCAATGCCAAAGAATGCTCAAGCTACCGCACAATTGCCCTCATCTCACACGCTAGTAAAGTAATGCTCAAAACTCTCTTAGCCAGGCTTCAGCAATTTGTGAACCATGAACTTCCAGATGTTCAAGCTGGTTCTAGAAAAGGCAGAGGAACCAGGTTCAAATTGCCAACATCCGATGGATCATTGAAAAAGCAAGAAAGTTCCAGAAAAACATCTATTTCTGCTTTATTGACTGTGCCAAACCTTTGACTATGTGGATCACAATAAACTGTGGAAAATTCTTCAAGAGATGGGAATACCAGATCACCTGACCTGCCTCTTGAGAAACCTGTATGCAGGTCAGGAAGCAACAGTTAGAACTGGACATGGAACAACAGACTGGTTCCAAGTAGGAAAAGGAGTGCATCAAGGCTGTATATTGTCACCTTGCTTATTTAACTTATATGCAGAGTACATCATGAGAAACGCTGGGCTGGAAGAAGCACAAGCTGGAATCAAGATTGCCAGGAGAAATATCAACAATGTCAGATATGCAGATGACACCACCCTTATGGCAGAAAGTGAAGAGGAACTAAAAAGCCTCTTGATGAAAATAAGAGAGGAGAGTGAAAAAGTTGGCTTAAAACTCAACATTCAGAAAACGAAGATCATGGCATCTGGTCCCATCACTTCATGGCAAATAGATGGGGAAACAGTGGAAACAGTGTCAGACGTTATTTTGGGGGGCTCCAAAATCACTGCAGATTGTGATTGCAGGCATGAAATTAAAAGACGCTTACTCCTTAGAAGGAAAATGATGACCAACCTAGATAGCATATTAAAAAGCAGAGACATTACTTTGTCAATAAAGGTCTGTCTAGTCAAGGCTATGGTTTTTCCAGTGGTCATGTATGGATGTGAGAGTTGGACTGTGAAGAAAGCTGAGTGCTGAAGAATTGATGCTTTTGAACTGTGGTGTTGGATAAGACTCTTGAGAGTCCCTTGGTCTGCAAGGAGATCCAACCAGTCCATCCTAAAGGAGCTCAGTCCTGACTATTCATTGGAAGGACTGATGCTGAAGCTGAAACTCCAGTACTTTGGCCACATCATGCAAAGAGCTGACTCATTGGAAAAGACCCTGATGATTGGAGGGATTGGGTGCAGGAGGAGAAGGGGAAGACAGAGGATGAGATGGCTGGATGCCATCACCGACTTGATGGACAGGAGTTTGAGTAAACTCCAGGAGTTGGAATGCCTGGCATGCTGTGATTTATGGGGTCGCAAATAGTTGGACATGACTGAGCGACTGGACTGAACTGAATTAAAAAAAAAAAAATTTGCATATAAATGGACCTGTGCAATTCAAACTTGTTGTTCACTGATCAACTGTACCACATAATAGCTCTTGTTTACTGATAAAGTTGAAGGATTTTGAAGGAGTTGGATTTCTAAAGAAGGTCTTAGAGGAGAAAGGGTTAATTATGAGACCAAGTCTAGGTGAGCATTTCTTTGAGCAGTCTGGTCACCTACAGAGAGAACAAAGCACAGTCAATAAAAGAGAAGGGGAGTTTATGTGAGGGAGAAGGAAATAATAAATTGCAGAAGATTAGTTTAAGCTACCTCATCATTTACCTAGGCTTTTTTAACTAACACTGAGAGAGGGAGTTGAGGGTCTGGGATTGTAATTGACTGCTGGCATGTGGAGAGAGCTTTATCAGTCTGGGTAAGCTGATGCCTGGTCCATGAGGAAGAACACCAAGCAAGATGTGGTCATCATTCTGGAAATGAGGGCTCCGAGTTAGGGTGTTCCACTGAAGAGGTGGTTACATCAAGGTAAGCAAGGCAAGCTTTTTAGTGAAACAGTACTGGAGAACCTGGAGAAAGTTGTTGGATTGCCCAAATTTAGTCAGAACAGCATGATGGTTTGAATCCCAAAGCTCCTTTTAGAAAGTGTTTCAAATCCTCTTTTTCTGCTGTATATATATGCATCTGTGAACAGATATTACCACTAACAGCAGGAAATTACTTATTTTGAATAAAGACTAAAAATGACAAAATGGGTTCTGTTCTGAAAGAGCTGGAAATGTATCCTTGATGTTCAAAGTGTGGCCCATGGGCCAGCAGCCTTAGCATCACCTGGCAGCCTGTCATACAGGCAGAATCCTGGGCCTCATCCTAGACCTGCTGATCCAGAATCTGCATTTTAATGCAATACACCCAGATGATCATACGTTCATTACTTTTTGGGAAGTGTAGGGCAAGTGTTCTCAACTATAGCACACTTCAAAATCAGTTGAAAGGTGAATTAAAGCACAGATTGCTGGGCCCTATTTCTAGAGTTCCTGACCCAGTTAGTCTAGAGCAGGGATGTTGCTGCTGCTGCTCCAGATGTCAAATTTTAGGAACCACTAGTCTAAGGAGGGGGCTTCCCTGGTGGCTCAGATGGTAAAGAATCCACCTGCAATGCAAGAGACCGGAGTTCTATCCTTGGGTTGGGAAAATCCCCTGGAGGATGGCATAGCAACCCACTCCAGTATTCTTGCCTGGAGAATCCTCATGGACAGAGAAGCCTGATGGGCTACAGTCCATGGGGTTACAAAGAGAACAGTTGGACGAGATTGAGTGACTAAGCACAGCTCAGCACAGTCCAAGCAATGCCAATACTGTTATAGCCCTCCAGCCTCCATGTTTCTTCATCTTTAAAATTTTTTTTATTAAAAAATATCCTCTGAGTTTCTGTTGCTTGCTTCTCATATTTCATTTCATTTCATTTTTTATGATTGTTTTTATGACAACATAACCTTTATTACTAATACAGATATTATTACTTATAAATAGGCCTATTGTTGTAACCAAATAACTAAACTAACTGAGACATAGAGTGGAAAGAACAAGAACCGGTATTTGAAGTTGAAAGAATGGTCGCCATTATTTGGCGATGAAATATATGGTAAAGCTGTAACAGACACTCACCTGATAAGCAGATAATGTGCCAAATGAACTTGTAACTGTAGGGAAAGAAGTTGGAAAATAGGAAAGTGGAAACATGTGTGGGGTTACTATTGATGTTTGACAGGGAGGGATGGAGAGAGAGAGAGAGAGAGAGAGAGATAGCACTGCGAGAGGAGTATCACTTCACACTGGTCAGAATGGTCATCATCCAAAAATCTACAAACAATAAATGCTGGAGAGGATTTGGAGAAAAAGGAACCCTCCTGCACTGCTGGTGAGAATGCAAATTGATATAGCCACTATGGAGAATAGTATAGAGAGTCCTTAAAAAATTAGAAATAAAATACCATATGACCCAACAATCCCACTACTGCATATAGTAGTCTTTTCACCTTGTTTATAGTTTCCTTCACTATGCAAAAGCTTTTAAGTTTAATTAGGTTTTAAACAGAGTTGTTTTGCCAAGCAAACCATAAACTTTGACTAAAATTTCTGTGACTTAAGAATGTGCCATAGAATGGTCAGCCAAGGCTCTGTTGAACTTGACCAGCTGGTCCACGGCCTCGTTGCCTACTAAGGCCTCCCCCACAAACAGCACCAGGTCGGGTGTGTTGACAGTGATGAGCTTGGCCAGGGCAGTCATCAGGGGAGCGTTGTCTTGCATGCGGCCAGCTGTGTCCACCAGCACCACATCAAAGCCTTGGTTACGTGCAAAGGCGATGGCCTCCATGGCGATGCCAGCAGCATCCTTGCCGTAGCCCTTCTCAAACAGAGCCTTGGCTGACCATTCTATGGCCCAGACACCTCGGCTCATTGATGGCATTGTCCTTACCAAGTTTGATACCATTGATGACAAGGTGGGAGCTGCGATTTCTATGACCTACATCACAAGCAAACCCATCGTCTTCGTGGGCACTGGCCAGACCTACTGTGACCTACGCAGTCTAAACGCCAAGGCTGTGGTAGCTGCCCTCATGAAGGCTTAATGTGGCTCTCGCCTGATACCAAATCACCGCTTCCCCCAAAGTCCCCATCCCTGTATCAAGAATGTGCTTTAGAGTATGTGAGCAACTTGTCTTCAGTGTAGTTCAAAGGCAGAGTGAGGGGCGCTCCGGGGCCTGCAGCCCCTCCTAACCCCACTCTGTTCAGCCCAGCCTCCAGCTGCAAGGAGGGCCTAATCATGTTACAGTCACTGCCCACTACCCATCCCTGCCCCGCCCCACCCCGTGCTCTTCCCCCGTCCTGATCTGGCATCCTTGCTCTGCCTACAGACTCCGTCTCCTTACAGCTTTGACCAGTGGTTCGTAGACCCAACACCAGAGCTCTGCTAGTTGGTGTGGTCACGGGACGTCTGAGCATTGTCCCCCGCTCCATTAGAGAAGAGGCTTGAGAGCCTGCTCTGGGTCTCGAATGGCCCCTCTCCGTAGGATACACAGCATTCAGGTCTGCAGGGCCAGGATAACACCCCCACACTGTGGCAGTGTATGGCCTCTTCTTAATTGCTGCTAATTCAATGATCCCTTCCCCTTTTCCCCAAAGCCTCAGTGAGGCCAGGGTGATGTGTTACAGATGAGTGAGAGGGGTCCCCGCCTCCCCCAGAAGGCAAGGGAGCCGCGCTGCAGTGTTGCATTGGGCTTCTCAGCCTCCAGGACCTCCTCCCACTTCCAGAATCCACACGTAAGTCTGCATGTTCCCCTTCCTGGGAGAAAACCAACTGTCCGAAGGGGGACATGTTGCCCCCTCCCCCTCCTGCTCCCGAGCGGATCCTGGCTCCTCATCCTCTACAGTGCCTGGTAGACAAGTGCTACGTTGAAGAATACAGACCTTGTTGAGATTTGTCCTGTAGCTTGGTATTACAGATGTGCTATTAGTGCAATAAGGTGAAGGCTGTCTGCCCAGAGAAATACATAATTTATATGAAAAAATAAATTTCATAAGTAAATTGCCAAAAAAAAAAAAAAAAAGAATGTGATTGTAATTATTCACTTCCTGTCCTAGCCCTGAATATTGGCTGTGATATTTGCAGATAACCTTTTAGTCCATTGGTCTTTAGATCAAGAGGAACTAGACACACACTTAATGTAGTAAGCGCTACACATAAACCCCTAACAAAGAGTCTCATAAACCACACTCTAAGATGTTGGGTTTGAGCTTGATGCCAAGCCTGGATGGGGTCTTGGCTTCAATTCCCTGGGGAAGGAAGTATCTCTTTTCTGAAGGAGGGAGAGAGATACTTGACAGAGTGCATCATGTGTATATACTCATTTGCTCAGTCCTGTCTGACTCTTCATGACCCCATGGACTGTAGCCCATCAGGCTCCTCTGTCCATAGGATTCTCCAGGCAAGAAAACTGGAGTGGGTTTTCTTTCCCTCCTCTAAGGGACCTTCCTGCCCCAGGGATCAAACCTGTGTCTCCTATGCCTCCTTGCTTTGGCAGGTGGATTTTTACCACTGAGCCACCTGGGAAGCCCTGGGGGAATGCATATTGGACTATAATATTCATAATGTTATTCAGAAGACTTATCTCTTTATCATCCTTTTAGGCACTCAATAACTTCTCAGCACTGGAAATCCTGACTCTGTGTTTGGGTGGATTCTTTTGGCTAATTTTGGCCAGTGAGCTGTGGGAGAGAAATGAGGCATGAACATTCCTGGCTCGCCCATATAATTACAGACACAAAATCCTCCACAGCTCTTCACCTCTGGCACTGGGAAAAGCAATATTCCAGAATGGGGCCCTTCAGCTTAGATCCAGGAAAAGGACAATCCATAACAAAGAACCATTTTGATTCACAAAAGAGCTGTAAATAAATGAGAAATTATCCTGTATTTCATTTCTCTAAGATTTGAGAAATGTCCTCTCCCTGGAGCATAACTTAGTTTTTTTCCGAGTAATAAAAAAGAAAAAAGAAAAAAAAAGTACTGATTCTTGTGGAGAAGTAGGATTGCAGTGGAATATCCTTTCTGAAAAACTTGCTTTTCATTACCATATATTTAAGGTTTAACAAGACATTTACAGATTATGGCTCTTAATAGGGTTTTCCTAGTGACTCAGATGGTAAAGAATCTGCTTGCAATGTGGGAGACCCAGGTTTGATCCCTGTGTGGGGAAGATCCCCTGGAGAAGGGAATGGCTACCCACTTCAGTATTCTTGCCTGGAGAATTTCATGGAGAGCAGCCTGGTGGGCTACAGTCCATGGATTTGTAAAGAGTTGAACATGACGGAGAGACTAACACATGCCATGACTCTTAGTAGATTATGTAAGTTTCTTTTTGGACTATGACTCAGTTGTGTTTTAAACCCTAGTGAGTGTGTGGTCGAGGAAGTTATATAACTATGCAAATAAAATTGTTGGACAGAGGAGCCTGACAGGCTACAGTCTATGGCATCAAAAAAGAGTTGGACATGACTTACTGACTTGACAGCAACAGCATGGACTTGTCAGTTTCTGTTACGTGAGTACTATAAGAAGCTAAATAATTAAAAGCATTTTTGTGATAAAAGAATAAATAAAATACAATTGACTCTATAAAATGTTTACAGATGAAAGTGGTTTTTACATTTCACTTGATGTTTTGAATGAATATATCACTACATGAAAAACAGTTGATTTGGATCTGAAATTTCTTTTAAAGATTCTTCCCATTTCAAGATATACTACAATCAACCTAGATATCTGAATGGACATCAATACTGAATGAATCTGACTTGGGCTATTTGCTGATTTTTTTTCTTCTGTATCTCTATCCAAGGGATGTTGCTACATACAGAGACAAAATAAAAGGATGTCTCAAGGTTAAAGCATTCATCCTCCACAACTAGAGTACTGATGAAGTAGATTTCTATCTGAAATAAATGCTTTTCGAAAGCTTTACTGTTGCTTCATCTCTATTCATGAGAACTTGAAGAGACAAATTCTGGGAAGAAGATAACTTTCTTTATGTTAGCTTCTTTAAGGCTCAAGGACTTGTTGAAATGCAGGACAGAATAAATACCATTTCAACTATACTGTCTGCAGGTGTAAGTTGGGGAGGAAAAAGGGTTTTATTCCCCCAAGAATTGTCACAGAATGAAATGAAGCTTGCTAAAAACATACTGGCTATGAATACTATAAAGAAAAATACAGAAAAGAAAAAAGAACATTTCCATTTTTTCAGACTTGATCATTGTAATTCTTCTATGAAAGCTATTACACTAAGATTCCTGCAGAAATAGTATAATTGGCCAATATACTTGAGGTGTAGGTGGCATAATTTATAGAAATGATTGTGCTTAGTGTTGTGGAATAGGTGCTTTTCTTTTCTTCTTTCAATATGTCTTGGCTGATAACAGTCTCTTCTTAAGCTGTGCAACTGGAGGAAATGAGTACATGACAGGCAATTTGGAAATAAAATTTGTAGGAGACGGACGTTGATATGTTTAAACATCTGTTTCTATCAGTGTTTCCTAGGATAACAATTAAAGGTAATGGAAGTTTTAATATTGTTTGATAGGCAGTGGCCTGTTTTGAGTAGTAACTATAGTTAAAACATTGCAAATAATTACTTAAGAACATTAATTATTTAATACTTTAAGTAATTAATTAATACAAAATAATTATTTAAGAACATTAAATATTTATGAGGTATTTTTATTTTGGATTTCTAATAGATACCATAAAGCAAAAGGACTTTTATGCTAACAAAACTTATGATTTCATAATTTCAATGAGTACACTAATACTAATTTAAAATGAAATAGGGGGCTTTCCTGTGGTCCAGTCCCTAAGACTCCACACTCCTAATGCAGGGAGCCCGGGTTTGAGCCTTGGTCAGGGAACTTGATCCCACATGCCACAACTAAGAGTTCACATGCCACAATGAAAGCTCCTGTGTGCCACAAACAAGACCTAGCACATACAAATAAATAATTAAAACAAACAAACAAACAAAATAAAATGAAGTGATCTAAAAAGTTAAATATATCTATATACTGTACTGGAAAATACCTATAATATAATCTTAAGTAAAAATTTAAAAATTTAAATTTAAAAGTAAAAAATTTAAAAACAAAGTTCAGATTAATGGATTATGGTGTGATCCAACTATTGTAAAATGATGTCATATGTAAATAAATACACATATGTAGATATATTTATTTATATATATATATATATATATATATATATATATATATACACACACACACACACATACATGAGCTTCCTAGGTTTTTTCTGTGTGTGTGTGGGCTTCCTAGATGGCACCTAGATGACACAGTGGTAAAGAATCCATCTGCCAATACAGGAGACACAAGAGATGCAGGCTTGATCCCTGGGTTGGGAAGATCCCCTGAAGAAGGGAATGGCTACTCACACTAATATACTTGCCTGGAAAATTAAATGGACAGAGAAGCCTGGTGAGCTATAGTCCTTGGGGTTGCAAAGAGTTGGACCCAGCTGAGTATATATGCACACATATATATTAACATATATATGTAAAACTATACACTTACCTATATAACTATATATAATTCATGTTTGTATCGGGATCAAAGTAGTGGTTATTCAGGTATGTATGAACAGATCCATAACCATTTTTTAATTTCTTCCGATGGCTTTATTTGTTACTAAAAGCATGTATCATCTTTATGATTAAAAAAAATGACAAAATATGAACTATAAAGGAGAGAATAAGTGGAAATATCAAGTATGCCCTACAATGTTTGTGTTTGATAAGGTGTGCCTGCTTCCTTTTTGTTCTTACTAGGTATAATTAAAATCACTACCTATAATATCAACTCAAGTATAATTTTGTGAATTATAGTTTTTAACTCATTCTTATTATCAAAACTGAATTTACTAAACCTCATGCATGATTTTTTACACTTTAAATCATTTAATATTTAAAATAAGTTTAACATGTCCAGTTATGCAGAGAATATATTATCTTTGGCCCCTTAAGCTTTGCTAAATTTTTAAAATTTAACTTAGCCTCTCTGCAAAGCATGAACAGTTTTCATTTTTGCCCTTTAGAAGAGCAATTTGTGTTATGAATATTTCGAAAGTGGTTCAGCTGTTTAAATAACAATAATGGATTTTCCTCAGCAATGTTGCTTTTTGGAGTTTAATCATGCTCTCAGGCACACTTAATTTGTGGATTAGAGCTTTTTGAACAGCACAATCGCCAACACAATTACAGAGTGTTATAGATATTTTTTGCAAGGCAAAGAACAAGAAGGGCAGCACAAATGTTCCAGGCAGAATCAGTGAAACAGATATGCAGGATATGTGATCAGTAGCCAGAAGATTCTTTATAAATGTGTTTATGTAATTTTGAATTCATTTATTTGAAAACTGCTTGTTGAATACCTACTACGTTTCATGCATTTTA